GGGCGTCGTAGTCTCCTTTCATGACGACGAAGAACATGGAAACGTGCGTCCCTTTGCCCATTCCGTCGCCGTTCAGATAGATTCGGGCGCACATCTTGTATCCGAACCGACCGGCGTAGAAGGGTTGGTTGTAAAGGGACACGATTTTGCCGCTGTCCGCTTCCTGCTTCCTCCTACGCACGGAATTTATCTTCCACATCAGCACGCCGTCGTAGCTGGCTGTTTCCAGAATCTGAAAACGCAAATTCTGTTCCGACAGCTGTGCGGATTGGATGTCCATTTCCTTCTGCACGTTCGAAATCTGTTGTTGCGCGGGTCCGCGGAGTATTCCTCCTCCTCTTCCCCCGGTTCCACCGATGGCTCCCATTTCTTCCACCTTCTTCGTCAACGCTGTCGTCGATCCGTGCAACGAATCGACCGTCCGTCGGATGTCTTCGTTCGCTTTTCTGTCTTTCTTCGCCGTATTTTCCAAAGTTTCAATATTGTCCGCCTGCCCCGCCAGTAGTCTCTTAAAAGAAAGAGAAAAAACATTTCATTAAAATTTCCGAGCGATTCGAGAAAAAAGAAAAGCAAATAATAAATATCAAGCTGTAGTTACCTGCAATTTACCGAGACGATCGTCTTTCGATTTATGAGTCAGCTTGATGGATGCTATCTGCTTCGCAAGTTCTTCGTTTTTCTGGTGGTCTGCTTCCACTCGACTTTCCAGTTCGTCGACCCAGCCGAATTTTCGAAGTTGGATGTCCATCTGACTTTTCAGTTCGGCGACTTTGCTAACGGCTCCGGACAACTCGGCGTTTAACCGCGCTACCGCCATCACGGTCATGTCGAGATGGCTTTGGACTCCCTCTTCAGCATGCTTTTCGAGTTCCGCATTGACGCCCTGAAATTGAGAAAGTCGGAAAAAAAAATTCGTTTGTATTCTTTGCATAAAGCAATCTCGAACAAACTTTCATTAAAAAAAAAAAGATATATAATAACCTACCTTGAAATCGCACCCGTAAAATTCGAATTTGCAGCATCCCTTCTGCCGAGAGCATCGTTCGTCCAGATGCGTTCTCAACTCTTCCCTTCGAACGTCATCCGCTCCGCAGTCGTTCGGACAAGACACCGTAAATTTAGGACAACTCCGTCGGTGCGCCTCGACGTCGCGATGCGGGAAGTGTGACTTGCAGAAAGTGCATTCGACCGAACGATGTTCGCACTCGGTTTCCAGATGTATCTGCAGATCCTTGCGTGGCAGCTTGGTCGCACACCCCCGCGATCGATGCATGCACGCGACGGGAAAGTAGTTGCAAAATTCCAGGTGCCGTCCGAGTTCTTTCAGCGCGAACGTTTACGAACACCCCCGATCCTTGTGGGGACAGTATATCTGAGCTTTCGACATTTTCCGGCGTGCGTGATGATCGGGTGCGATTTCCTCTTCGGCGAACTTTTCTTCGCAGTTCGGACAGAGTAATTTCTGTCTCTTATTCCCCGCCGTCGCAGCCGGGCGTCCGTCCCTTGATGCAGGCTTCGCAAAACCGGCAGCCGCACGGCGCCTGCACCGCTCGTCGGACGGCGAGAAGACATACGCCGCACGTCAGATCGTCCGAAAATTTCCCTTCCACAAACGTGTAATCGAGTCCGTCCTCGTTCATCGATGTCGACGCGAGGCTGCTCATCTTGAAATGATAAGAGTCTCGTACGAAAAAATGGCCATTCTTATAATAATCTAAGATGAGACTAACGTCATCGGTTTTTGCGCTACGTCACACATTTCCTTTTAACTCGAAACCAATCAGAAATCTTCGTGATTCGAAGTACACATGACGTCATGTGTCATGCATCCTCGTTCATCCGGAAACCATACAGAAAGCGTCGTGATTGAAAGTACACATGGCGTCATGTGTGATGCATCTCCCACCAAATAAAAGGCTTATAAGAGGCGCTCTCGCCGAGTTTAAGTCCACAATTTGCAAACATGAATAACATCAAGGAAATCACCGTCCCGTTCGTTTCTTCCAACGGTAACGTGCGGCTGAAGATAACCCCGAACAAGAACGACGAATACAACCTGTACATACCGACGTGCGTCGACGACGGTGACACTCGGGGAAGCTTCACGGTGCTCTCAAAAGCGACTTTGGACAGACAGACTGCGAATTTACTCGACGGAAGTTACATGAAATTGTGCCCCCTGAGACGGAACACTGTCAAATGCCTGTCTCTTATACACATCTAGATGTGTATAAGAGACAGAAGTAAGACAATGTTCACGCTCTGTACACTCGGATGCCGTCCGGAATTTGGCATTCCGACATCTTCATCTCGATCAAGCA